GGAAAAAAGGACGGCAAGGAAAACTCCATGCTGCCGCAGAGCACGGTTTTTTTCAGTTGAAAGAGAGAAAAGAGGTTCAATTAACATTTGTGAGAGAGCTGTCGTTAGCGGTGAACCACAGACGGGTACCTACCTGAAAGGAGTCGGAGTATTTCTCTCCTCCACCTGCTGGCTTCCACCACTTGCTAATTTTACTGAATCTATGGAAGCTCCGCGATAGCCACCACACGAAGTAACGAGTAACGACCCTATCTAAATCCCAGTAACGAGTAACGCGTTCCTGATTTTGGCATAATAACTAGTTACCGTGCTCGTTACCACAATAATAACGTAGTTACTGTAAAGCGTTACTTAATAACGTGTTAGTCCCAACACTGATTTTAGGTCACTTAATCATTTACTTTTCATCATGTAAAGCAAAAGATCACTATAGGAGTCTATAGGAGAGATGGTAGCTGATTAAACAAGTATTATGAGACAATAACAAATACAAAGATTGGTGACAGCGCTTGGAACCATAAGGCAACAAAACTGAGAAAAATAAATAAATGAATCCCTCAACAGTTTTTTATTCCAGCTGGAGAGAGATCCACTGACTCACATAGCTCCTTTTGTCACTGTTTCCTCCTCATGTCCTTACAGGGCATGTCTAGATAATATTATCTAAATACATAAAATAACCAATCACACACACACACACAGTGACATTTTATACCTTATTCAGAAACTGTACATATTCTATGGCCACAAGTTTGCATGGTGCTGATCCAGAATCCTTCCCTTATTGTTTATTCCTATTGCTATAATAATAAAGTAATTACGATTTAAAAAAAAAGTAATAAATAAAAATATAGTATTTATGATGATTCAATTTGTTTGACTATCCATCCTGGAAGAAAGTTTATTAAACGTTTGTAAACTGTAGAGATACAATAATGCTGCTGTAAAATCAGCATTTTGTCCTTTTTGAAATAAAAATCTAATATAATCTGTTTCTTAATGTATTTCCTTTAAAACACAGCGTGTTTTCATAATATTGTAATTATAATAATCCACAATTATGTGAATATGTATATTAGATATAGATAAATATAAACCCTCCAGAAAGGCAGGAAAAGCCCAGAAACTTACTTTAAAACTAAATATGTTCCCTAAAACGGTGACAGAGCTATAGACCCATGACAGCCTTACACAGGTAGCCAGCAGCTATGACCAGCACTAATGTGCAGTTAATAAAAGGACAGGTAATGTTTGTCGCGCTGTTGTTTCAGTTCATCATTTGTCACAAGACAGCTTACCAACGTGTACATAATAAGTACTCCTGTGTGCTATACACTACAGTGTACGCTGTACACCTACAGTGGGGCAAAAAAGTATTTAGTCAGCCACCGATTGTGCAAGTTCCCCCACCTAAAATGATGACAGAGGTCAGTAATTTGCACCAGAGGTACACTTCAACTGTGAGAGACAGAATGAATAAAAATTCTTTACAAATCCTACCATGTGAATTCATGGAATTTTTTTTCACATTCTGTCTCTCACAGTTGAAGTGTACCTCTGGTGCAAATTACTGACCTCTGTCATCATTTTAAGTGGGGGAACTTGCACAATCGGTGGCTGACTAAATACTTTTTTGCCCCACTGTACTTAATTGTTTTTTGTCGAGTCATTCCCAATTAACTTGTGTTTATCCTACAGAAACAGCTCTGCACCGCTCAGACGGCAAAAAAATGCGCGTGCTCTTTGTGAGCTCGTACCCGGCTCGTAACCAGCGTGCTCTGCCATCAAGGGCAATCATTGGTTAATGGTAGTCATGTGACTGATGCAAGCCAGATCCTTTTATTTAGCAAAACTGTGATTAATAGTTAAATATTATTGTTGAGGGGCACAGACAGGACTCCGCACGCACACATTAAAAAAAATATGGCAAAAATGGTTAACCTTGTATGGTGAATTTTGCTTAGGTGTGTCTGTGAAGGTTCTCAGTCATCCAGGTCATCGTAGTCAAAAGACTGAATTTTGCTTACATAATAATAATGCATATACCATGGTTAGGACCAAATGACTGAATAATAGTTTAAAATAAGATGTTTCAGACTGACAACTGTTAATAAGAAGCTTTGAAATGAAGTCACTTCACAGTGAGACATTTCATGAACACAAAACAACAAGGAGAGAAAAGTTTGTTTTTACAGGTAATAAATGTACTTTACTGTACGAACTACAGGTCATGTTGTTGATTCATAGGATCAGTCTGTAAAAAAACAAACACACACTGAACTAGTTTGACCAGGATATTGACAAACACGCACATACACAGTGTTCGGTCCGCGTGGCAGACCGTGGGGATGTGGGGGAAAGGAGGACCCAAAACGCAGGACTCTTCACCGCAACCGGTGCGTTTATTTACAGTGCGATAAACGACAATAAATTCCCGTGCTCTCCCTTTACTCCCGTGTCGTGTCTTCTTCCCAAAAAGTCTCTGTTTAGTGCTCGCTGCACTCCCTGTGCTCACTGCTCTCTCTCGTCTCACTCTCCTCCTGAGGGAAACAATAGAGGCAGCCATCAAAACACTTAATTCCTCTACTTACTGAACTTTAACCTAAGCTAGAAGAGTGACGTAAAGTCTCACGCAATAATCCCACATCGGTGGAAGCTCCATCACCCTCCTAAATAGCTCCCCCGACAAGCCCTGATCAGCATCACGTGTGTGGCAAGGACTTGGATAGGACAGGACAGGTTTTGTCCAGTCCTCTGGCGGGGCCACACCCACCAGGCCTGAAGGTGCAACACGTGCCATTTTGGGGTCCTTATACACACACAATATGGTAAGATTATGTTGAAGCACAGTACATATTACTCTGCAAGGCTCCTGACTGCAGTAGCCATAATGCTCGGACAATCCATTAAGCAGTGCTGTTTCGTAGCTTACCAAAGTCGTACTAAAACATTTTCACAGATTTTTGTGTGCCGTGTACCACATAAAATTGGTTCGTGCTCAGTAAGCACAAAAAGAATTCATACATAAGGCGCACTTTTGAGAAAATTAACCTGTTAGCAGTCGGACGTACCGCCCACGGTACATTGGATGGTTTAGGGGACTAATTGGACTGCTAAGGGGTTAAAGGATTTTAAGTGTGCCTTATAGTCTGAAAAATATGGTACTGAAAAAGTTATTGTGCTTAAAGTGCTTCACTGAGCTGAAATTTAAACTTAAAATATATCAAAATATATAAAATTAAAAGAAGGTCTAAATTAATCGATTAGGACAGATTCTTTTTCTCCTGTGTTTGTCTCCTAGAACAGGGGTCTGCAACCTTTAAGACCCAAAGAGCCATTTGGACCCGGTTTCCACGCAAAAGAAAACACTGGGAGCCACAAATATTTGTGACATCTAAAATGAAGATAACACTGAATATATTGTTTTTTACTTTTATGCTTTGTGTGAACAACTAAGGTGTGTTGCTTATGAAATCCATGAAGTGCTACAGAGAAAATTACATTTTATTTATGTAATTAACACATTTTGAACTCTTAAAGGAACTAAAATGATCCATGTAGCAAACAAAAACTGTTGTGAGCTGCCACCCTCATATCGCCTTTGGGCTTTTGGAGCCTTGACCTGACTTTTAAAAATAACTGGGAAAAAAAGCACTATGCTGCTGAAACAAAAGAAGAAAAAAAAATGCAGACCACGCTCCGCAGCGCCAGCTGTATGCGTACAGCAACCGTGTGTGAAAAGTGGTCAATAAAGAGATGCTGAAAAGCGTGTTCATGCAAACATCGTCGGGTCTGCCGTGATATGTTTATAATGGGACTTCTGCTCCTGAACCTCTGCGCACAGCGTCTGCAAATCGGGGCTCTATGAAGTCACTTTCATCTTTATGCAGGACTGTAAGCTGCCATCTGTGAGGCGTGAGCGGTGTTTGTTTTTAACATAGTTCACAGTGGAGAATAGCTGCTGACATAATGTGGATCCGAAGATCCATAATTGGCCTACCTGGGGTGGAAAGTCTCGATAAATGCACAGCGTTTCGGCGGGTATACCGGCTTCCGCGAATGTGGCGCTTATTTTGAGCGATGAAAAAAATAATAGAATATAATTTTATTTTTTTAATTTCAATATCACAGTAATCTTCCAATTTAGAACTACAAGTTAAAAAGAACTAACATAAATAAAATACACTTCAGCTAAATACTTATAATTCATTTTCCCAAACCACGCGGAGCTGCACTATAAGGACTAAAGAGCCGCATGATTCATTTCAATTCAATTTTATTTATATAGCGCCAAATCACAACATAAGTCGCCTCAAGGCGCTTCATAGATGCAGAGATAAAAAACCCAACAATCATATGACCCCCTATGAGCAAGCACTTTGGCAACAGTGGGAAGGAAAAACTCCCTTTTAACAGGAAGAAACCTCCGGCAGAACCAGGCTCAGGGGGGGGCGGCCATCTGCTGCGACCGGTTGGGGTGAGAGAAGGAAGAGGCTTCGGAGCCGCAGGTTGCCGACCCCTGATATAGCCTGACTATAAACAGGGTTATTTTTTAACTTTTTTTGCTGCATGAGTATGACTCAACCTTGGATGTCAGTCCTTCTTATGAGTTAACAAAAGTGCAGCACATGTTGTCAGATAGATAGACAAAAGCCCAAAGTACTATTTGTTTAACTAGCTTGCTATGAGGTAAAAGGCAAATACTGCCCTCATGTCTGTCTATTAGATGTGAGGTTTACTTTGTCCTAGAACAACACTTTGGCCAGTTAATTAGGAACTGCCTTTTTCAGCTAAGAAATATCTCCAAACTTTGAACTTTGTTGTCTAAATCTAAGTTAGAAATGGTTATTCATCCTTTTATTTCATCTCGCTTAGATTTTTGCAACTGTCTTTTTCTTTGTTTGAGCTCCAGTTAGTCGTGAATGCTGCGGCAAGGCTTTTAACACAGACATGAAAAAGAGAGCACATTACACCAGTGTTACATTCATTACACTGACTTCCAGTACATTTTAGAATTCATTTTAAAATCTTAGTACTGACTTTTAAAGCTTTGAATCATGAGGCTCCTGTCTATATTTCTGATCTTTTAGAACCCCACGCTCCCTCTCGCAGCCTGAGATCATCTAGCTGAGAGGTGATAGATCTTTTAGAGCAGTCGCCCCCAGGTTATGGAATGCTCACTCCATCTCTATGTTGCCTGGATTGTATTTATTGTTGTATTTATTCTTTTAAACATCATCTTAAGACTCATTTATTTGGACTAGCTTTTAATTAGATTTGTGCTGTATGTTTGACTATGCTGTTTTATGTTTATCTGTTTTATATTATTGTGAAGCACTTTGTGGTTTTTATCCTGTGCTATATAAATCAATAAAGAAAGTAAGTAAAGTAATGTCCTTTCCCTCTTTTAATTTAAGGTATTGCTTGAAATAATAATTTGCAGCTGCACGCGGTGGACAAAGTTCTCCAGATCAGCTGTGGTTTTATGGAGGCTAAATGCTGCCTCCTCCATAGTACAATATAGATTTTTATACAGTGACGTCATCTTGAAGTCCTTTGGCTGATTATGGTCTTTAGTATGTAGCTGATGATTGATGCTGAGAGAGGTTATGATTGTGTTGTTCTGCGGAGATCATTCAAGAACTGAACCTGAACCCACGCACTTATTTAGGACTGTCATACAGCGTAGCGTGACACACGTAACTCTAATGCGACTTCCTTAAGAGACAACGGAAGTGTGGAATCAAAAGGAGTTGCTGAAAAACCAAAACTTTATTTAAACTGCAAATTTAATCTCATGTAGTCAGTTTTAAAACTCTGGTCGTGTTATTAACTGAAAATACCAACAGACTCAGACATTTAGAACAATCTAACAGTCAGATCAGCAGAAACAGAGAACACGGACATGTCTGCTGTAACTGCGTCGCTCTGCTTGACTTTGCTGTTTGTCTGCTTCGTCGTGTTCGTCTATGCAGGTGAGATTTATAAACCAAAAGGTGTTTTCCCTCTGAGATAAAGAGGAATAAACATGAGGTTTACATGGTACTTCCCGAACACTTAGATTTATATTAATTCAGATTGTCATCACGCATGACAAGATAATGAGGTTTTGTGGTGTCTGTGAGGACTTGGTCAGCAGTGTAGTTTCCAGCACAGAGAAAAAAAAGTGTAATGTGTGTGTCAGTGTTATGTGTTGTAGTGTCAGGAGTCAGTATACAGCTACAAAGCTTTTTGCTCAGTGTACACAAACAGCTGTAGCTACATAAAGGCAGCATGCAGAGACTCACAGTGTCTTATAATTAGAGGCTGCTTTCTCTCACACATTATGTTCATTTATCAGCACATGTTTTTGTTTTGCGAAGCTGCAGGAGTGTTAATTAGTTTTAATGTCATTGTTGTTTTGTGATAAAGACCTCATAAGTTTTCAGTGAACCCACTACATCACCTGTTTGGTATTGTCAGACTATTATTGTTTGTTACACAATAGATTCAAGACTCAAGAAGTTTATGGTCATTTTGTATGGTGTTACCCAGGCTGAAACGAAATACTGTTTCTCACCAACCTCTGCAGTGTGATAAGCAATACAGTTTAAAAATGATACGTTTAAAAAAGAGCAGCAAAAAAGGCATGTGAGAGGTGGTGGGGGTCTCTGATGATGGAGACAGCTCTCCGTCTGCAGCGCTGTTTGTAGATCTCCTCCAGTGATGAGAGAGGGGCACCAACGATCCTCCTGGCAGTCTTAACAATCCTATTAAGTTGACGCTTCTTGTAGGACTTGCAGCTGCCAAACCAAGCTGTAAAACTTTGTGTCAGGATGTTTTCAATGGTGCCTCTGTAGAAAGTTGTGAGCTGAAGTGTGGAGAGTCCTGCTTTATCTGAGTCTCCTGAGGGAGTGGAGATGCTTTTGTGCTTTTTTGATAACTGCTGTGGTGTTAATGGAGAAGGACGGGTCATCAGCAAGGTACACACCCAGGAGCTTAACACTGCTGACCCTCTCCACAGCAGCACCATCTATGGTGAGGTCAGTGTGGTGATCTCCTTCCTTAGCCTTCAGCCATCAGCCTTCCTGAAATCGATCACCATCTCTTTTGTTTTGTCCACATTGATGGTGAGATTGTGGGATCTGCACCACTGCAATCTGCTCCACGAACATTCTATAGGCAGACTCACCGTTTCCAGTGATGAGACCAACCACAGTTGTGTCGTCTGCAAACTTCACAATGTGGTTAGTGCTGAATTTGGCCGTACAGTCATATGTGAGCAGACTAAACAGCAGCGGGCTCAGGACACCCTGAGGAGAGCCTGTGCTCACTAAGATGGTCTTTGATGTTTGGCTGCCCACCTTGACTGTCTGGTGATATTATGCCAGAAAGATATGATTGACTATGTACTGAAAATCATACATGTGGGAAGAAGTCAGTGTTCCCCTTGTACATCCTCACTCTGATTGGCTGCTGTAGAAGTGAACAGTTGTAATTTGACCTTTAACCTCTCTGCCCTGTGTTGTTTCCTCTTTCAGGCCAGAAAACTATCACACAGGAGTCCGGACAGAACGTCACTCTGATATGTCGAGTTACAACCAACAACATCATAGTTGTCAAATGGAGCAGAGCTGACCTGGGAGATGAATATGTTGTTTTGTACCGGGATGGTCAGTTTGTTCCAGATCACCAGCATCCATCTTTTAAGAACCGGCTGGACCTGCAGGACAGACAGATGAAGGATGGAGACGTGTCTTTGATTCTAAACAATGTGACCATTAATGACACTGGAACTTACGAGTGTCGTGTTGTCCAGCGAGTGAGAGGACCTATGACTCTAATCAACAGCACCAACCTGAGTGTTGTTGATCCTCCAGGTGAGTGAGTAGAGTTTAGTGTGCGTGTGATCAGAAGTGAAGCTGCATCCTTGTTGTTGATGTTTGTTTCTAAAGAAGACACCTCACAAATGTTTCTCACCTGCAGGTCTGACAGGAGGCGTCTGTAGAGGTTGTCATGGACTGTTCACGAGTTTCTCCGTTTTTGATGTTTTTATTGCTGTTGTTGGTGTCTTGGTGGTGTTGTGATCTAGAAAAAAAACACAATTAAAATTCATGCCAGAATTCAAACCAGCCTCATGTTGACTTGTAGCAGACCAAAATCTCTCAGACCTCTTAATAAATGAACAGGGAGTCTCCTAGATCTCCTACAGATCAATTTAACATGCATAATGACATACAGTAGCTGAAACTAATGATCATCCAGTGGGAAAAGGTCATCAAACACCTCCTGCTTTCGTCAGGGTTTTATTGAAAAGCAAACGTCAAATTAAAGATCACCCTATGGGCAAACACAGTTATCAAACTTGAACAGCAGGGGATCCACAGAAGAAAGAAAATTCCTAATTCAACTCATTAGGGATTCTTAAAAGTACTATTTTTGCTAACATGGTCCTTTTCTTAATTTTAAATCTAACAGGAGGAAAGTATTCTAAATAATCAGTTTAACAGTGACCTAGTCTAGTTCACGTCAGGCGAAAGTGTCACGATCCTGGGTCTTATGACCCAGTGTTTTGAGTTTTAGTTCTTTTGATGTTTATAGCAGAGATGGACCGATCCGATATTACTTGTGTGACACAATGACACAGAATAGGGAGGAAGGTGTAGGTTTAAGTTTATTAGATTGATCAGTATTGCTGAACTATGAAACATTTTTTTTGCATACAGGTATAACAGAATAGCTTTAGTGTAGTTGTTGTTTTAAACTTGAGTATGAACTTATACAAAATGCAGCAAGATATTTAAAAAACAGTTTTGTTGATTAAAAAACACTATATCGGATTCATATCGGTATCGGCAGATATCCAAATTTATGATATCGGTATCGGACATGAAAAAGTGGTATCGTGCCATCTCTAGTTTATAGTGTATGTTTAAGCTTATTAGGTTTCCTATGTTCATTTGCTTATTAGCTCTCCCTTGTGTTTTCAACCCCTGTGAAGTCTCCCTTGCCCTTCGTGTGTTTCATGTCTGTTGTCTTATGTTGTCATGTCTGCCTCTCATGTTTCCTGTTTTATTTTGAAGAGATCTCGTGTTTTTATATTATGGATTATGTTTTGAGTCCTTTGTTGTACTGTTTCTTGTTTCCCTAGGTCTCAGTTATGGTTATCTTAGGTTTTGTTCTTTGGCTTTGTAATATGGCTTCCCTGTGTTCAATGTTGTGTCTACTGTGACCTCTTTATACCATGTTTCTGGTCTTCTCAGTTGCTGTTAAGTTTACACGTCTAGAGTTCAGTCATTGTGTTTCCTGTTTTACTTTGAAGGTCCATGTCTCATGGCTGTGTTTCTAGTTTTGCGTCTCTGTCTCGTCCAGCCTGATTACTCCCAGCTGTGCTCTCCTTCTGTGTCTCATTCCCTCGTTATCCCTCTGTGTATTTAAGCCCTGTGTTTCTTTTTGTCAGTGTTGTAGTCTCCCTCATGCTGTGTGTGACTCTCCCTGTGTCTTCTGGTATGCATTTTAATTAGCTTTTCCCAGTCTAGTTTTGTATTGCTTGTGTTTTATTTTCCAGCAATAAAGCTGTGCTTTTGAGTTCAAGTTCTGTCCCCGTGAGTTTGCGTTTGGGTCCAATCCCTGCCTGCCACACAGCCAAAACATGACAGAAAGTATCTGCCACAGAAAATGACTACATATATTAGTCACAAAAAATAGTTAATTATAATCCAGCCTTAAGTCAGTAAAGAACAAATCAGACAGAGATCTAGTGGGGCGTGATTCAATAATGAGAAAAATAAAAATGACTAACAGTCCATTATTAACACTTTTAACAGTAAATATCAATTAATATCAACAGACCAGTCTAGAAGCAGCTACTTTTCTACCTGCTGTGTTTCTTTTTTATTATTAGCTTCAAATTCATGCTCATGAGCCATCTATGAAACAACACAAGGTCAATATTTCAATATACATTTAAGCTGAAGGAGTAAAATTTAAAGTAAACAAGACTAATATTAATCTGATTACATTTATGGCTTCTTTCTCTGGTTTTATTTTCAGTGTTTTTCTGGAATTTATGTCAGGAACAAAACCTGTGTTGCATAAACAAATTATTTTGCTTCCTGTTTGCTGCAGTATGAGAGCCAGGCACTGAAAAATGGGCAATTATTAGAATAATATTATTTTTAAACTAAACAGAAACTATTCATATTACTTACAGGAAAAATAAATAAATAACCCACCACTGATCTTGTAAAAGGATTTACACTTGTTTACACTTCATGATTTCAGTGTGTAACCCACATAAAATGAGGGTACCACTTTAAGAAATTATAGATATGAGGAAAGATGGACAGTCTGCCCAACCAATCAAAATGCGCAGGTCCCAGTATGCTTTGACCAATGGGAAAGCAGTCTGCCGCTTACTGAATCGAGTTTTAATGAGTCACTCACCAAAGTGAATCGGGTTTCTTGAGTCACTGAGTCAGTTGACCAGAGAGTGCAAAAATGTATATTTTCACTCAAACTTAATTTGTTTCTCTTTTAATGTAAATCCTACTGCTTAGATGGATGATTGTAAAAGAAAACAACTATTTTCTTTAGAGGAACAAAGAGCAAAAAAAAATTCTAAAGGGGACATTTATTCATTTTTATTTTATTTTATTGGTATTTTCCTTAAATGTGTCAAATATATATTTTTTCATCTAAATGTCCACTGAGCTGTGAGCCAGGGGGAGGTAAAGTGCCTTAAGATTGGTTGCCAATCAAGAAGAAGAAGAAGAAGCTGTGAGCCAGGAGGGAGGGGGTGAGTGAGTCAGTGCTATGAGTTACACTATGATTCAGCACAACAAGGGAGGTATGGCGTTATTTTTGTGCCACTATTCTGAGCGCACGTAAAAAAAAATGCAGGTGCAAGTGTTGCATTTTGAGGAGAAATTTATTTTGAGCGTACAAAAGCTGAATTTGAGTGAACAAAATTCATTGCTGCGTGCAAGAAACGTATTTTAGTGTTTGCGCTTATCCATATACACACACAATAGCACCCCCTCGCTCAGTTTTTTCATTTGCGCTCACAACATTCTCTGCTTCGTACGCTCAACTCTCTGTACACCGTTATAAGTGCAACTTATAACTAACCCAAATAACAGCAACACAGTGAAATAGATGGCGAGCCTTCCCACCTGGACTTAAAGAGACTGAGATTAGTTTCTTTTCCACTTGATGATCTGCTGCACCTTGTGGTGTGGTAGGACTGTATCACTCACACTTTAACACACAGCTGGTTATACATGAGACTTTCACATCCTGGGATTTTTTTGGACTATACCCATTTTTTAATTTGGGACTTTGAATAATAAGCTGTTGTGTAGAACATTCTCCACATCTGAAAAGATTGTGAGATTTTCATTTGAATGTACATTGGAGTAATCTGTTTCTATAAAAGTTAAGGAGTCAGGTTACTAGGGTGCACCCGAGCATTGAAACCCAAAGTTGAAACCCAACATTGAAAACCAAAAGTAACACTTGGCCAAGTTATTGTTTTAGTAGTTTATGTGTTTAACTTTTCTTTCATTTTTTGTAAGTTTCCTTTCTACAATTGTAAAGTGTCTTTAACCTGTGCTTGTCAACCTTATGGTTTATTTCAGTTATATTCTTTTCTCTGTGTCTCATATAAATACACCCCTGTGCTCCTATAGTCGAACCTATTGGCCCATTGATATATTCTTTTCAACAATTCCCCTTACTGTGTTACAAGTGTCCTGTATGTGACAATATCAGTGTTAGGTTTGTCTAAGTACAACCCTTGCTGGAACAATTGAGAGAACACTGCAGCAGCAAAACAACACACCAGAGCTTTTTGTGTGATCTTGTGCATGAGGGAGACGACCGAGACCAAGCGCTGTTCCTACCGCTTGAACCCCGTCACTGTCTGTCAGCTCCCCTGCTTTTTATTGTGGTTACATGAATATTGTTAAATTCTCCCAATTCTTTCATCTTTGGGCTGAAGGAAGGACAACACTCGGTGTATAAATGCTCAATCAACAATCATTTTATTCCATACGATTCTTATTATTCCATAGTTTCATTAACATGTGACATCTTAAACAGGCATAATATATGTGAACAAAGAGTACCTGTCTGTGTGTGCTGATGTGTGTATGTGTGTGGAAATGTGGGTGTGTGTATGTGTGTGGGTCAAAATATGACCCTGTGAACGCCTCCTGCAGAAAGCTGGTGCCAGGAGTCCAGCGGTCCACCTAAACAAAGGGCTCTTGTAACTGAACAGATACAGAGCATGTGTACTCCCACTATATATTACAAGACAAGGTGTGACCTGTCCATGACCTCCCAGCACACCTGCCATCTCATGGTACTCAGAGTCTTAAAGACCTACTAAGGATGAGACATTCTATCAATATGGAAACAATTATATATCTCTAAGCATAAATGATTATATGTTTCTAAGTACAAATGACAATCCTAAAATATTACCCTGAAATCAGCATCAGTGTTTTATCAGTAGGCATCTGATTTTATTTATTTAGGCATTTATCTTCTTGTTTGCAAGATCAAAATTGTTCTGTGGGGTTTTAATGAAACAGACTAGAGATCAGCAGTATTACAGTATCATGTCTGTCTGAACCACCTGACCTGGTGCACCAGTGTAAACTCGTGTAAACTGCTGCATTATGAGTCAAATGTTAGACTGACTTTATGAACTGATCAATAAATTATTTGCATCTTTCAGCCTCGTCTTTTTCTCAGCTGTCTCATCATCTTCATCAGACTCTACAAATCATTTGAAAATATTACTCACATCATCAGTCCTCTCTGCCTCTGCTGCAGTGAAATAACACTGGACTTAGTAACAAACTGTTAAAGCTATCAAAGGATTGAGGTCATAAAATTTTAATAAATAGTTTAATTTTCCCCCAACATGTTCCTGAAAATGCTTCACAATAAAAGCCTGGTTAATAAATCAAGGATTTCTGAGAACAGAAAAACTTGAGGGCTTTTAATTAGAAATCAACACAGGAAGTGTTGTGTTTCACATACATGTATCATTAACACAACTATCACTATTATGATGAACATGTGGGTG